TTCTGTCCATGGCTTGTATTATTGCCGGGCAGCCCTTAACAGTCTGGGTTATGTTCCATTCCTCTGGTTTTCCTTTTTCTGCGGGGCGGAAGTTTCACTGTATAATTATGAGTAATGATAATTCCGAGAATAATAATTAGAACGGATCACCTCAAGTCCTTTGGCTCCTTTGTTATTGATAATCGCGATCATTCTGGAAGCCATAGGGGGATACAAAGTCAACCCTCGCAGTAATGGACTACGTAGATCAATATGTAGTCCGTCCAGCATAAGGGTCAAGCGTTGGACAGTCTCTACTAGTACAGAGTAAGAGTGCTTTTGTTGAGTACTCACACTTTTTATGCGCGCATAGCCAGGGGTAATCTTGAATAACTATCCCGATTGACAGACTAACCGACTGAACATGCGACACGAAATAACCCCTGAGGTAAACCCGCCAGGAATAGCGGGAATTAACCGTGCTCTGTATTTAAAGTATTACGACGCGGGACACAATCTGAAACAGGACTCGATTTAAGCATGTCTGATCTTCTGGCTCGTAATGAGCCGAGTGGAAGTCTACAGTACAGTGCATACCCGGTCTTTTTTTTTTTTTTTTTTTTGTTGTTGTTGTTGTTGTTGTTATTGTTATTGTAGTAAAGACGTTGAATATCACTACTTCCCTTTTCTCTTTCTTCAGTGAAATGAAACTGCATCCCTTTATCTGCTCTCCCGGGTGAGCCGCGAAGAAACTTGACAATAGCAGCCTGGACCTTTTTGATATCAAAACGAACCGGCTCGAGAAGTTTGTTATATGCCAAAACCGTGACCAGCTGTTGAAGAGCATCCCGGGAGAATATATCAAGGTATCCATCCTCCCAACGAGGACTCTGTAAGCCTTCTATCTCAGGGACTTCATTGAATCTGTGTAGTATAGGAAGCACAATTTTATCAATATGGCCAGCCAGTGCTTCTTTAGCAGTCTTCTCATCAACATTGTAGGAAATGAGACCATTGCTGAGTATATGTTCCAGAGTATATCCAACAAGATGCATTTGATTCTCTTGCCATATGATGGTGTTGAAAACTCGCTCTTTGAGATTGTGTTTGGCACCGCCGCCTTCTAGGACGATTTGACACATGTTTGCTAAGGCACTGCGGTCCGGTCCATCCGTGCTCCTCGGCGTCCGAGGTCGTCGATGTAGTTTTTTATAATCACAAGTTGTACATCAACATCGTCTGCGGTGGTTTCTGGGCCCTTGGTGTGGGCAAGCTGTCGCAAGAGCAACTTCTTGACCTATGGCGGCTTTGTCTTGAAGCAGCGGTCATGATGGCCTTGGTTTTATTTGGTAATAGATTGAAGTGAGTAGAACAGTAAGCTTCTGCATTGGCGAAAATGCTAAAGATGGCGTGGGAATTGAGGAGGTGAAATGACCGAATCATGATCTGATCACTGATGTCTAGCATCGCTCAGTACCAGGGGTACTCCATACGGAACATGGAACGCTCTTCCCGTTATTGTCCTGGCTAATCTCTTGGTGTGATCAACTGTCAGGTACGGAGTATCGCAGATAAGCTAAGGACAAGGTACATATGGGGTATGCATTGACCGGCTTGGCTCGTAGTACGGGGTATTACTATTTCTGAATAGTACTCTAAATTGTCTTTGAGAGGCCAATTGCCAAAATAGATCGATAATACCATTTTCAATGTCCCGTACCATCAATCTACATACACATTATTCCACGCAAGAGTCAGCTGTATTTTGGTTCGACCTCTGAATGTCTCAGTAAAACTACAATCAAATCAAATAGGAAAGATCGTTACCAAGTTTTTTTTTTTTTTTT